TTAGCACGTGAGCTGATGTGGGGTTTCTTTCTGACTGGATGCCATGAGGTCATCCAGGCTGGGCACCGCACTGAGGCTGGCGATGTCGATGCTCCTTCCCAACTCCACCACACATTGCTTGGCCACCTCATTGTATCTGGTCCCCTCTCTTTCCTCTCTTGTCTGTGAATTCTTCATGCAGGAGCTCTGGTTTCCCATTGTGTCAGCATGGTGTCAGTTCCCATCAGGGCTTAATTTCATTCAGTCCTCATAGTGTTACTGTACTACAGCTGAGAAAACGGTGTGTCTGATATCGCCCACCTCCACAAATCATACCTGAAGTCAAGGACTCCACTACCAGAGAGTTCTGAAAATTTGAAATTCTTGCAAACACAATAGAAAACTGCTTTCTCTTTTTCCCTACATTTTAAACATAAAAAGAATAATGTGGAAAACCCAAACTATATTTTCATAAGGTACCTATGCAATAGGTGTTTGGCACAGTAAGTTTAGTCACCCTGACAAAATAATTATTTCCCATGGGCTTGAAGAAAATTATTTATTTTCAAAATAACTTGAAGTTGAGCAGGGGGACAAAGGACCTGTTCACTCCTTAAGCCCAGTAAAAGGTGATCAGTGAGACTACAATATCACTTTTGTTTTCTACAGTGGTTATCCAACCCCCGCCCCAAATCTAATCCCTGCAGCTTTCCCAAGAATGTATCATCAGAAACATGTCACTGCCAATCAAGCTTTAACGTTTGGACTTTATGGAGTATAATTGCAGGAGAATACATAGTCATTATAGTCAAAATATAGAGAAATGCCCAGTAGAAGATACCTTGGAAGAGACGATAAGGACACATAATGGTATTTCTGTACTCTGGTTGTTCTGTGCCCTCCTGTAGTGTGCAGTTGCCACCTATTAATTAATTGCTGCCAGTTAACAAATGCACCCATTCTGTAACAGAATTGCACTGAATTTCTTTCCAATTTGTCAGATCTTTTTGTCTTACTCTTCCTCTCCTAGATCACGTTTGTGGCTGGTAAATTGGTTTCTGAAATGCAGTCTCACACACTTTGCTTCTGAGTTAGCTTTCTTCTCTGCAGGACACTATTATATACTGTACCTTTAAGTACCCAAATCAATTTAATTAAATTTCATTACAGGCACTAGAGCTGAAACAAACTAATGAAAGCAGCCATCATGTCAGGTGGTATTTATCTCGGCATTAAATTGAAAATACCCCCTTTAGGCTCTTAAAAATTAGTTTCAATATTTAACGCTAATAGCTTTTGGAATTGTTGATGGGGATGGTTTTAATGAATTTGTTACAAACTGTTTACCTTTCCAAGGAAAGAAGCTTGTTCCTTGCAGCAGAGGAGAGCTAAAGATAGATGACTTAAAAGTATTAGGGTTTTGAAATACTGTGAGGTCTGGGAGCTGCCCATAATGCTGTTGAAAAACACCATGAAGGTTGTCGTACAGTGATAGCATTATGCCTTTTTTAGTCAAAAGCGATGCCAAGTCACCACAGGACTTGTGTTAGAGTTTTATTGTTTGCCTGAGTTGTTTTATTGAGCTGATCAGGCTTGCAAACTTGAAAGTTTGTAGCAGATTTTATTTGAAGACTTCATTATAGGCACTACTCTCAGCAGAGAGAAAAAGGAAAATTTGCAGGGAGGAGAAGAAGGAAAAACATCTGCCACAGAGAAGAATGCTATTGCCGGCGTCCCAACTGCAGCGGGATTTTGCTCTCTCGCTGTGGAGGCACCTTGCAATGCTGTTTCTGAGGAAGCAATGTTGACAAAGTCCCTGTTGATACTCTGCAGAACAGAACCGGTGCCACGCGCTATTCCTGTAGAGTCCATGGGACCGTGCAGATAACGGGGATTTTTTTCATCCACTTCCCATCAGAGCCAGGGTCCAGGTATTAATGTAAACAATACAGATGGAATAGACAACAGGAAGAAAGGCTTAGGGGAAGATTCAGGTCACTTTTTTCTGACCCACATGCCAGGGATTTGTTTGAGGGAAGCAAGAGTGCAAAAGGAGAGCGTACCTGGCCATGCGTGCATCCAGATCCACAAAGCTGGAAGCATTTCTGACTTGCACTATGTAAGCATGGCTGATGTCTCCTCCTTTTGCAGGCAGACAGTAATAAATAGTCTATTCCTTCTCCTTTTATCAGGTCTTGAGTCTGTCCTCTTGGTATCTTCCTCTTCAGCAGTCTGTTTAAAAGAAACTAAACAATCAGAAAACTATAACAGAGTGAATTACAGAGTCACCTTTCTGGTAAGAACTTCTGACCCCAGAGAAGGAGGAAGAAGGGAAACATTTTTCTTCAGCAGGATAGAGGCATGGGCTTCTCACATGTTTGCTACTTCATTTTTATAGTAGAGAAATCACCGTGCAAGTTACTATTAACAGGAGATGTAAAAATAACGCTAAGTATGTTATTTACAGTCTTGATGCCTGGATAAGATTATTGGACTTAAGCTATTCATTATAATTACAACTACAAACTATTAGTTATTTTTAAATATATATATGTATTATGTATATATTGAAAAGTTTCTAATCATTTCCAATTTGATTTAACATTAAGAAGTTAGGGCTTTACAGATGGTTTTGTTTGCGTTCTCATTGATCCTCTAGGTTGGAGGACGCGGCTTGTGTAGAAGCTGCTTTGTGGAAATGAAAGACTGGATATAGAAAATTTTGGTTTAAGCAAGTGGTATTAAAGATTCTTTTCAAGTTACTCTTACTATTTTTTATTAATTAACTGTTTTTCTTCCTTGTGTTTTCTTATATGACTGTCATGAAATAGGAGGTGCAGTCAGTGAAGTGTCCTAAACATGAGTGACCTCTGTGGACAAACACTCACTGTCGACTCTAGGGAAAGTCTGTGAAAGCTATGGCCCAGGCTTCACTCTTCCTTTTATTTTCCTTTGCAGTTACGACTGAGATACATGCATGTTTATACAAACACGTTATGTAAGGAGTACAGACATTCAGAATCTATAGTTAGGTGTCACATCTGTCTATCCTAATTCACTTACAATGTTTCCTTCTACATCAAGTATAAGTATCTTCTTTTCCTTCTGCTGTTTTTAAAAGAGAAAGTGTCACACTCTTGCTGAGTTCTCTTTCTTAAACATTTAGAGGAAGGGGGATTTTTCAGGCCATTTTCTCTTGCAATTCCAAGAGCCAGGTGCCTGTGGTTTTTGTGGAGGGAACAAAGTCAGAGAGATGCCTTGGACAAAGGCAGAGAGTGGGAGGGGGTGGGATTCAGGGTTGGATGCCTGCAGTAGCCTGAGGTAGGGGGTGGGAATATTCTGTACTACCCCAACGGAGAATTATTTTTGTGTAAGCAAGAGGAAAATTCCAGCTGTTTTTTGGTAATATTATATTGTGTTTGTTTTTATTCAGCATTTCATTGCAAAAAGTTTGTTTAGCGCCATGCCAGGTGCTTGACTTGATTTCCACTGAGCCCAAGAGAAAGTAGGCATTTTTAAAAGGCTTATGCCTTCAGTGCGAGACTGAGAAAACTCTGTTACTGATTTAGATTTAACATTAAGCAGTGATAAAGACAGTTAAAATCTATCAATACTTTAAGACATTTGAAATACTGTCGTTTAATAAAAGCACTAGCAAAAGTCAATTTATTCTCTCATGATACTTTCAAACTATTTTTAATATCCTTTTAAAAATGTAAAGTACATTATTTTGGATTATGGTACAGGAACAAAATATGAATTATTAAAACTCTCCTTTTTCATTTCTGAACTAGCTGTTTCTGGTGTTTGTATTACTTTTTTTCTTTTTTTTTAAATACATCACCACTACCACAGTTTTAAATAGAAGTGTCCAGGTTTCGGCTGGGATAGAGTTAATTTTCTTCCTAGTAGCTGGTATGGTGCTGTGTTTTGGATTTCGGATGAGAGTAATGTCTAGAGCTCACCAATGTTTTAGTTGTTGCTAGGTAGTGCTTACACTAGCCACAGACTTTTTAGTTTCCCATGCTCTACCAACTGAGAAGGCTGGAGGTGCACAAGAAGCTGGGAGGGGGCACAGCCAGGACAGCTGACCCCAACTGGCCCAAGGGATATTCCATACCGTGTGACGTCATGCTCAGTATATAAATGGGGGGGGAGTTGGCTGGGGGGGGCCGCTGCTCGGGGACTGGCTGGGCATCGGTCAGCGGCTGGTGAGCAATTGCATTGTGCATCACTTGCTTTGTATATTCTTCTTCTATTATTATTATTATTATTATTTCAATTATTAAACTGTTCTTATCTCAACCCACGAGTTTTCTCACTTTTACTCTTCCGATTCTCTCCCCCCTCCCACTGGGGGGGGGGAGTGAGCGAGCGGCTGTGTGGTGCTCAGTTGCCGGCTTAGGTTAAACTACGACAAGAAGGAATAGAATTTCTTTCTGTACATCTTGGAGAAAAATGCAACAAGGAAAATGCATTGATTCTTTTTCCCTCACGTGTGAACAAACGGGCAGTTAACATAACTAGACTATAGATACCCAAATAGTTACAATAATTTTTATAATCCTGGAGCTTCCCCATGTACTTACTCCAAAATTTCCTTATAAAATAGAAATGATTTAAAGCAAAAACTGATTTTCACCATGAAAACAAGCAGTCTTACGATTTGGAATATTTTCATAGCCAGAATGGCATTTGCAATGTGAAAATAGAGTCATGGAAAAAGACAGAACTATTAAACAAATAGCCTAAAAAGATGTTCAGTGTTTTCATAATTTGGGTCTCTCTGAAATGTGTTATTTTACAGAACCTTCTGCATTTTACTTTTTCTCCTGGTGTGTCAGTACAGTCAGCACGTCGTATCCTGCACCGCTAAGAATGTTTGCCGCCCAGTGGCAGGAAAAAGATGGTAGCCCACTTGTGTATACGTAGTGAAAACACTAGAGGAAAATACTCTGTACTTAAAATGGGGAACTGTATGGCGTTTTCACTGACTGCTGTCGCAATGTTTGATGTTGCAGGACGGATGGTCGCAGTATCACTTTGTAGCCTCATCTTCAACAATAGAAAGGGATCGGCAAAGACCGTACTCTTCATCACGCACGCCCTCCATCTCTCCTGTGCGCATGTCTCCTAACAACCGCTCAGGTAAGACCCGGCTTTCAGAACTGAAGTTTAAGACAGAGGTCTTTTTCTTTAAGCAATGTCACTGGCGTCCGGATTTGTTGTTAACAGTGGTGGAAGGGCACAAAATATATTCTTTACTCTTACCTGAATTATCTGTTCAAAACAGGAATATTTTTGTTATTAACACCTTGTAAAGTTCTACAGCAGAAAGAATATTCCATAACTTTTTGTTATGAGTTCTCATGCAGTGTTTTCCTGATTGGGATTACCTGACTAGATCTCAGGGCAACGGTGTCCATTTGTGTCATGAGGAAATTTTGTCACTCACTTTGCTAGTCATGAAAACCACTATGTCGTTTATGACCACTCTGCACACTTAGCTGAACTTGAAGGATCCACATTATTTTTTGTCAGCTTTTATTCTGATTATATGTGTATGTGTATATAATTGTGCATACACATGCATATGTAAGTAAGTTTCACAAAAGATTGACTGCAGGTCTTCATGTAATGTTGATGGCATATTTACACCAGCTGTCATTAATTCTGTATGATCCATACAACAGATTAATGTAAGTTTCTCAACTTATGCTGCAGTGTTAATTAATTTTTCTACTCAGAAATCTGGGCATTTTCCCTTCAGCTTATTCTAAGGTAGACCATACCTTGGTTAGATAAAACCATTCCCAGTGAAAATCTTCTAAGATAAACAGAGTAAAACAGTCAGCCTTTCAATGTGCTTTCTACTATTTGTTAAATCAAATGCTGTCATTCATAGGTATACCAAGAGTTTAGGATTAAAATTGGCCAAACTGATTATTGCCATCGGCATTGTGCCATAGTTTTGTTTTTAAGAAAATTGTTTTGTTAATTATCTAGAAGCTGCATCTTAGTCCTGCAGAACAACCACTGAGGAAATTTGAAAATGTAGCCAGAAGTACAGTGAGAGCTGCTATTCAGTTTTCAAAATCTGTCATTACACAAGTCCATAAAGGGCTCTTGTTCCCTTTTTTCCTTCTCCAAAATCTCATTTTGGCTGTAAGTCCAAGGCACTTGAAATGTCTGGCCCTGAGATCTTAGTTCTGTCTCTTGTTGCCAGAACTGTCTCCTCACTTCTGTTACTCTATTGCTTGAAGAATGTACTTAAATTTTGGATTAAATCTTACTGCCATCATCAGTTATCATAAGACTGGAAAAGGACAAATATAGTGGCTGTTTCTGAAGGAAGAGGAGCCCATGTAATTACAGACCAATCAGCTCAACTTCATTCTAGAAAATTGCTGGAACAAATAATCACAATCTGAGCTATAGTTGAGACAGTTCCTACCATCTCAAAGATAGTAGGAACATAAGATACTGCTTAACTCTAGGAGTAGCTATTTCTACATAGTAGTATAAGTTACTGTCTGTCTGGTAGTATCCATATCAAATCCAAACATTGGTTCGATACGATTTGTTCTTATAAAATCCACCTGAATTCCTGCTAAAACATACTTAAAACGCTTTGTGGAAAGAATAGTCAATAAATTAAATATACTGTAATCAATAAGACTCTTTCACACAAGATTTTTATAGCCAAGCTAGGGCAAGCTAACAAACAGTCCAGAAGATATCATGTGTGGTAAATACAAAACTGACTGAAAACCATTCGCAAAGAATGGGTATTGCTTATTGCCAAAATGGAAAAAGGCTTTGCTTGGAGGTTTGCCTTGGGTCCAGTACTCTTCAGCAGTTACATGAATGAACCAGATAATATACAAAGAATGCCTATTACCTTTACAGGTGACATAAACCTGGGAGAAACTCATGTACCTTGAAGGGCATTATTGGAATTCAGAGTGATCCTGAGAATTGGAGATACTGTCCAAAGGGAAAAAAGATCCAGTCTTTTACAAATAAATTATAAGGAGAATCTCTGGCTAGACAAAAGTTCTTTAGAAATTATTTAGGGATTTTTGTCAGTTGTGAACATGAATCGGGAGATGGAGAAATCAGGATATAAGGACACACTGAATGAACTGTAATTGTTTAACTCAAATAAGAGAGACACAAGATGGGGGCAGTGGGAAGAGGTACGCATCAAGTATTCAAGCAGGTAACAGCCAGCTGTGAAGAGGAACAGCATGAACTTTCTCTACTTTCATAGCAGAGAAATGGAAATAATGAGCAGCAAGGAGTCAGGGTAGACATCAGGGAACAGTAGGGAAACAGCACTGGAACAGACTGCTTGGAGCAGTTATGTGGTCTCTGTCATTAGAGATCTTTAGTTTTAGATGAAAATCTGTCAAGAATTATTTTGGTATACTGGATCCTACCTTGGGGTAAAGAGTTGAAGTAAATGAACTCACAATGTCCCATCCATCCATAGACTTGGTGATAAGATGCTTTAACTAGCGTAGAGAGCTCTGTCTTCTTTTCTGTGTCCTTTAAGAATAAGAGCAGAAAGCCTTGATACCACTTTTCAGTCTAATGTCAACCAATAATTTTATGTCTACTTCCAGTAAAAACTCTGAAAGAGAGCACTTCTGGATTTTACACTTGCCAGAAAGCAGTTGTTCTCACATGGGAGGAGAGAGAGAATTCCCACAGGGAACAGAGAAAGATGGCTTTGTCTTTATCAGTCAATTTTGTTCAAAACACCAGAGTGCTTAAAAGCATTACCAGAGTATGTGAAACAACATGCATCCCTATGTTAGCAACTTCTTCAAGGTTTGCATTCTGTTTTGTTCCCTATTAGACTCAAGCTGCCATTAGCTGATTTGGTAATTTAATGTCATGTGTCTTTATATCTGCTGGATTATCAGCTTTAGAGTTACATCACTATTGACAAGCAATCCCCAATTCTAATGGCTTCATAAGAAAAAACGTCTGTCCCGCATTTGCTCTGTAAATTCAGAGGCCAGGGCCAGCAAAATCAATCTAAGCAGAATTCAACATCACTTGTGCTTCCCTACTCCTTAATTAAGTACAAGTCCTTCCCTACTCCTTAACTAAAAAATGTAACACAGTTTAGAGATGCTGAAAGACATAACTCACAATCAAGCTTCACAAATGATTGTCTTACACTGTAAATTCAGAGGCCAGGGCCAGCAAAATCAATCTAAGCAGAATTCAACATCACTTGTGCTTCCCTACTCCTTAATTAAGTACAAGTCCTTCCCTACTCCTTAACTAAAAAATGTAACACAGTTTAGAGATGCTGAAAGACATAACTCACAATCAAGCTTCACAAATGAGCTTGTCTTACATTTTTAATTTTTTTTTTTCTTTTTTTTTAAGCAAGGACATTGTTACTGCTTTTGAGGTTCTTTTGCAATATCAAATATCTGGGTGGAGGCAGGGGAGGGAGTGGAAGTAAGCATCAGCACTTTAGTTATTTCAGTACCACTGTGCCTTCACGAGGCTCTGGGGTGCTCTGCCACTCACCTGGTACTTCTTCCCCTGCCCTCCACAACAAGGAAAGTGCATTGTATCTACCAACACCTAAATGTATTGAAGTCAGTTTACTTGAAAGCCATTATTGTTTCCTCTGCTTTTCTCCTTTTCCGAAGCATCGCGAGCTCTAAGTCTTCATGATCAGTGCCAGTGATCACCTTCACATTTTCCAGCACGTGAGAATCAAGTACAAACCCAGTTCTCCTCCTAGTCACCTCGTACTTTCCTCCTTTTAGCCATACCGCGAGTATCGGTGATGAAGGATTTAGTTTTAATGATACCTTAAAGTAGCAGTTGTTGTTTTAATGGCATTTGTTCATCCATAGATATTTAAAGACAGAGAAATTATTCGAGTTACCTTTAAGTGTTAGGCATTCTTCACTATATGTTTTCTATGAAAAACACCTTTCTTTTCTTCCTGTCCCCATTAGAATAATTTAATGGGTTTCTTTATTTTCAACAGAGAAGGGAGGAAACCCTTTTATAAGGGTTTTTCCACACAGCTGAAAGTTAATGGTCTTGTCAACAGAAATAAATTAACCATTTTGAGAAAAAAATGGAAGTGCCTATACCAGAAGGTTTTGAGAAGATAAAGAAATTAAAAAGCTAAAGGGGGAAAAAAAAAATCATTATTATTGTACTTTTTTCTTAATGATCATCTTACATGTTGGTTGTAAGTGAAACAAGTAAAACGGTCAGAGAGAAAATGATGTGTGGAGTTGATTGTCCCATTAATACATTTGTCCTGTATTTGAAATAACAGCACCTTTTCTTCCATAACGGGGTAGTGTTTCTTCAAACAGCTTAATGTTAGCATGCTACCAAATAAAAACTTTACTAAAATGTTTACTCTAGAGTTAAACACTACATTCAGTCATATGCGGCGAGAAAAAATAAATCCATTTTTATAATCTAGCAAGTGCCCCAGCCTCACCTCGGGAAATGATCAGCCTAAAAGAAAGAAAAACAGACTATGAATCAACTGGAACAAACGCCACTTACCATGGAAATAAGGGAGAACACACTTCTAGGAAAGACACCATGACAGGTGAGATTATGCTTGCATAGCATATATAAAAATCAGCTGTGGTAGACCACTGGTTTTATAGGCTTGGCTGGGTTTACTGTGCTGTAGAAAAGACTCAACCTGCTTTTGTTGATTCTGAAGTTTTAGCCACCTTGAGAAATACAACTGAAGAAATAGTTGATCTTAATGAATACAATGCTGTGTGAAAATGGTTTGTGAAGACCCTGTTTCTTCACAGAGGAAAGGCTCTAAAAGCAATTTTACATTTCTTTTTAATTTTAAGTTTGTTTTCATTTCAGAATGAAGTGAGTAAATCCACCTTGTATTAACTAGCTTTGGTTTTGAAGCATGGCAATGGTTGAGCATGTGCGGTGATCGCTAACATCTGTCTTTTGCAGGGAATGGCTTTCTGGGACCGGTTAGCTTATTTTGCACATCAGTCATTCCTAGGAAATTCGGTAGCAGTTTGTAAAGTCTATCCCTGTTACTTTCTCAGCTGGGCTGATGTAAATGGAACAGTTTTCTCTGTGTATGTTATGGCGTCTATTGCAGATTTCACTGAAGGCTTGTCTCCCCTAGTGAGCTCATTAACCTGTTAGCACTTAGAGGAACTATAAAATTTTGAGTGCTTTGCCTCGTACTGCACCTCTTTGTTAATTCCGTTGCAAAATATGTGTTGGTCTCCGTCACCATTGCACAGGCTTATATAACCTCTGTTGAACATTTTCGTACATTTATACAGTGCCGAGCATGATGGTGTCCTCTTCGCCAAATGCTACCTCAGGGCAAGCAGACATCATAGTGAGGAGTCACTCTGCACTTTCTGAATGCCTGTTACCTTTTCCCATGCCCTCTGTAGAGGTCTTGCTCAGAGGATGCCAGAATGGGCTGTCTTTGTGTTCCTCAGCTCACTGGGGACACCAGTAGCGTGCTGACTCAGCGTGAAGCCATCCATACTAGCTTTCAAGACCGTATTTAGGATATGACGATACTCATACTACATCTACTGTGTTACACGCTATTGTGTAATCAAAGCCTAAAGGCCAGCCTTTGAATTTGTGTGAAAATGCAATATGGAACTATTTAATTAGCATGAAAGTGAAAATCTGAAGAAGAGGAATGACAGTCAAGAGCATTTGGAAACCACAGAAATGAGGAGTGTCCTGAACGGCATGTGCAGCATACTACATGAGGTTGCAGCAGATTCAGTCAAGGTACTGGATTTTATGTATCTGTAATATTTTGAGTCTTTCACAGTCACTGCACAAGGTGGTTCTCTAAAACACTTCAGTGGTCCGTCCTTGTGTGATTGTGAAGGACAGGACTGCGTTTTTTCACCACTTTGTCAAGGATCCGTGAAGAGGGAATCTCAGGAGTAAGAGCAGTAGGCTGAAAAGGCAGAAACATTAGTATTTTGTTCTAGCTGTATGTGCAAATTTAGACTACCAGATTATATCAGAAGGTTCACAAAAAAAAGGGTTTCCATGTGGAAAATCTGTGTTTCCTTGCAGATAGTCTTGTCTCTCTCCACACTTTAAAAATAGCGGGGGTTTCTTTTTCCTCAATCTCTTTTCATTTTGTCTTTTACTGTAGTGTTTTTCTTTTTCCATTCCTGTTTCCCTTGTTTCCTTTCTCTTTCAATATAATTTTCAGATTGCGAGGTTTGTACTTCCCCAGCAACCTTTGCTCCACTTTGATTTTTTCATCGTGTTTTCCTTTAATATCTGCTTGTATTTTGATCTATTCATATTGATTTTTTGGGTGGGCTTTTAGTAAGGAAGGTCGAAACTCTCAGCATCATGCTGAGCTATTGACTATTTTTCCAGCTACTGAGCTCAGTGAGAAAAATCAAAACCAAAATCAAATTGAAAAGTTTAATAATATTTCACAGTCTTACATGACCATTGTACAAATTAATATGAAATTAACAAATTACTTTCTCTCTCTTTCAGGTCACCAAATCTCTGCTCATTTGGTCTGAGCTCAAATTAAGCACCATTTTAAGAACAAAAGAAAATGACAGTTAGAAGGAGTCTCACTCGTCAACATTCAACATGAAATTTGTGTGACATATTTGTAGCTCATAAAAGAAATATTTCATTAAAGAACAATATAAAATCAGTATTTGTGATTTTAATTGTGATACATTTTGACTTTACTTGGATGGTCTAATGTAAGTTTGTGTAGCAAGTTCATTGCGATGCCTGTATTTCATTTTGTGCATCAGACAATGCATTGCAGCTAATACATTCATAGAGCCTATGGGACTTAGATAAATGTTTTTTCAGGTTCCACCTGGCGTATACGTATTTTGAGCTGCTCTTGTATTTTGTGCCAAGCTGATGTATTACACAAAGCTTTCTTTGACTTGCGGATTTACACAGAGTGTAGAGCCACAGCTGTAGTCCCAATTCATCCACAACTGTCTCCATGCTCTTCTCCAAAGCCCTTCTCTTTTTACAGTTCAAAAATTTTATGACCTCTTGGCTAGGACTGAAATGAGGGGTTTTTGATGGATTTTCGAAGCAGAAATGTTGGCTTCTTGCCATTGTGGGGAGTTGTCAGGAAATGTCTGGGAAAAATGGAGAATCTGTGAAGTAAACAGTTTGGCTGAAGATGGTAACTTACACTGATTTCACAAGGACAGCTAAAAAATAGAGGAACAATATCAAAGTTTTCATTGCCCTCTTCCCTTCACAGGTTTATGATACCTTGTACATTTACTATCCATCTTCTCTTCTCTGTAGAAAATAATAACCAATAATAAAATTTTATCACCTAAAGTATATTTTTAAGACAAAAACTATTATATTCCTTTTAAAAAAACAGGAACTATAAGTGCATATGATAACGTTATTTATGCCATGGTGTTTTCCTTCAGAACAGGGAAGATAAGGTTACTGTATACTATCATGGGACTCCTACTCTAAAGTTGCTTTTACTTTGTTAGTTCCCTCACTGAACTAATACGTACATCACAGTCTGCACCCTGTATCTTCACTTCCACCAGCAGAAACACCTTCTGATTAATTTATTTTCTTTTGATTGCCAAGAATCAATCATCTATACTTTTGTCATTTAAACTTACTTGCAAGTCCCTGCACATTCAGAACGCAACCAACCACCATCATCTGTTACAATAGCTACAGATGCTCGCACTACTTGAACTTATTATTACTTTAAGAAACCATAATACACTGTAATCTTTTCTCATGCCCTTACCTCATCTTTCACCGTGCAGGAAGGTGGCAGTGGTAGTGACAGGTAGTGATCTCTGTTAGCTGAGATTTGTGAGGCACAGAAGCATTTTCATTTACTGTCTTGAACTAAATTTTAGAAAATGGAGTCCTGCTGCTTATAGCAGCAATTGCTTATGCAATACCAGATGAGGATGACTACCTGTCCAGCTGAGCTTTCCTTTCTTACTATCGGTCTCTGTGAGGGCAAAAGGCTAGCACCTTGTTATTTCCAAGTGTCTGTAAATGTGTTCAGAATAAGTATTTATAAGTGAAAGCTGAATGTTAAACCATGAATCAAGTGACTGGGATATATGGGGACGGCTTCGGTCAGTGATATCTTTGTCACATAAACCACTGAGTGACATAATTTTCAAAGTTGTTGTCAGCTTTGCAGAAAACTGCTGTGGGGAACTATATGATTTTTTTTTTTAACCCACTATCACCTTGAAAACTGAACGGGGGGAAAAAAGGAAGGTATAACGTTCTTCATGCAATGCAACCACGAAGTACTGCAGGTTGATTATAGTACTCATTTTAGAACCTTCACAATTTTGCCTAGTAAAAAGTACCTCTTCAGTACTATCACATATTGATGTTTAGATACTGCATAAAATACACACACACACTCATCACTCCTGAAATCATTTCATCTGCAGTTACAATTCTCACATCTCTGTAAGGAAGTGTGGCTGCTGGAAAACCTCCATCTCTTGCTCCTTGTACCCTTTTCCCTTCTCTTGCCGTGTTTTAAAAAAGAAAATTATTTCATTAACCTCTCTTTCTCTCTGTTTGATAATTTTACTAGGATGGTACGTATACAATATTAACAGCAAAAATCAGATACTAACCACACAATATCTGTCCATTCATCTAGCTCATTCTCTCCCTTCTTTCTTTTATATTTGCCCTCTGCTTTTGGACAGCAAGAGTGAACTGCTCACTGAAGCATGGCAGAGTGGGAATGGAGTTCCCAGGGATGCCGCCTGCGTGTTCAGAAGCAGGTACTGGAGCGGTGCTGCATGCATTGCTAGCAGCTACATTGCTTGACTTACATTTCCTCCAGAGGCAGAATTACCTCAGCCTCCCAGCTAGACTAAGCCAAGATTTCTTGTTCTTGAACTCTTGGCATTCATTTCCAAGCATTTGATGTGTCATTATATTTCTTTTTATTACGTTAAGAAAAGAATACTACTTTTTTTTTTGCATTTTAAACTTGTGAATTTGTATCCACATCACTGCAGTGAAATCAGCAACGCAGACCTTGCAGCTATTTTCATAAGCTGAAACTATCCATTTTTCCATCGCAGAATATGTGATCTGGGAGACTGCAGGTCTTCAGTCTGGCATGTGACAATTCGGAGCACAGCAGTGCAAATGTCACAGTAGCGCATTGGACAGCTATGCACCAACTCTGGACTATTTCTGGTTTTATAATAGTCATGGCTATTAGTGGCACATATGTACCATGTGCCTTTTTATATACCTGTAAAAAGATGGAAAGGTCATGACCCTCCTTAAAGTCTCTCTGGTTGCTTGTAGGAACAACATATAAATTAGCATGTGTCCAGTTTGCTATTTTTCATCAGATTCTTCATAAAACCCTCAGATGTTGCGCCTTATACCAATCTTTTATTCTTGACATCAACGAAGCATGAACAGTATTGTCCTGTCTGGACTGAATATGTTCAGTCATGCCTGACTAACAACTTACACGCATGAAACTTCAACCTTGCTTATCTTAAAATTTATATACATGAAAACAAAATGGTTACAAGAAGTCCTTCCCCTGTTTTGAGAGTCCAACGCATTGAATATCACTTTCATTCTTTTCAAGAAGTAGCACTTCACAAAATGGGTAGCTGAAACACTAACTCTGAGTATCTTTAGGTCTTGAGAAGAGGAATTTGTATAACCCAACTTGTTCTAGCACTTTTTAGGGCAAGCAAAAAACTCAGAAAAACAGCATAAAAAAGATGGTATCAAGGAAGGATCTGGCAGTTGTACTACTGAGTCATGCCTTCAGGAGATGTACCATAAATGGCAATGCTAATGCAGACTCCTCTAATAACAAAGACGGACATCGGGAGGGAGATTTTCAAACACTAAAGCAGAGGATGCAACTGGAATATAAAAAACTCTGAAATAACAGTCAAGTCTCGCACATCTCTCAAGTTTAGTGACAAAATGCAGCCTGAGCAGAGAGAACCTCTGCAGATCGGCCCTTCAGTACTAACATCTATGGCCAAAGACAAACTACTCAAGCAGTCATCGTTTCCATCTGTTACCACCTATTGGCACACAGGCAGAATTAAGAGTACCTACCACTGGAAAAGACCAATCATCATCTGTTACTGGAGTTCGTATTCTTCCCACCGTCAAAGAAAGGATCCTGCTGCACTCCTTGGAGACCTCCAGAGCTCTTCTCCATTTCCTACACAGGACTATGCACTGTCTCAGTAACCGCATCCAGCTCTTCAAGAAACAAGAAGAGTTTTTTCAACCCTATTAGTTAATGGTTATGAAGTGAAAGATCTCTTTTTCCAGCTGTTAGGGCTCATTCCCCCACCATATAAGCCCTGTCTTTACCCTGTTTCAAGAACATGCTGGAGATCTTTAAGAACACCATCTGCGATCTGTAAAGCAGCAACATGGAACAGTGCACCATACTCTGACAAAAATTATACCCTCAGCATGGAACCCGCAGCAGATGTGAAGATCAGAATTGGTGTATTACAGTCAACTTTGACTAAAGACGGTGCCATTCCTTTGTCCATAGAGGGTGCGGTGGCTGGGGGAAAGATGGAGACAGTTGTACATGCTGGGGTCCATGCTAGCAGGTTGCCAAAGGAAGAAAGAGTGGTTACTTCTTCAGTAACTGTGGTTCTTCGTAGTCATGTGACTAGCATGGATCCCATACTCAGCTTTCAGCTCTGGTACTCAGTCCTCACTCTCAAAAAGTTTTGAGTTGTGAAGGTATTAAAAGCAACTCTTGGTGCCTCCAGGTTTTATACCATTGCACAGAGACCTGAGAGAAGTTGTGTGAGCAACACGTTTCAATTCCACTGATGACTCTGATTCACAACTACTCAATTTTTACTTTCAGGCACGTGCTTTATAACGAGAGTCCTCATGACAGCATCAAATCATTGGTTATAATGTCTGGAAAGTTAATAATGCATGCCCAGTAAGAACAGTGCGCAGCAGCCCCACAAAATACTACCCTCATATTCTTTCAAATATGAGAAATAACTACAATCTTTCTAGTTCTACCAGCAAACTAAGCTTCAGCTAGGTAGCCAAATCAAAGTGATCAGTGAAGTCAGCTTTGCAGGGAAAATCCTTAGCTTTTTATGTGGGTTTTTTGGGTCAGGGTGGGAAATAAATTTTTGCAAAACTGTATGATGTTATCCTTGTCTTTAGAGTTACTTCTGCTTTCATACTCATGGCTCATGATTCCATGCATTTTAGTAGTAGGACATCTGAGAAGAAAGTGACAGCGGTTCATGGATTTGAGACTATCTTGGCCAGACCTCTTCAGTATAACTACATATTACTGTTTTGCATAACTCATTTTTCAGTTGCATTTAATCGCTTTCCCCATGAATAATTTCACCATATAGCAAAAGCAGTGTAGGATAAATAATCCAAGATTTGGTGTAACGTCATCCAACTGAAGTGAAAGGAATGAAATGTTTCTTAATCTCAATATTTACAACTGTCACCTGTTTAGTGTATGTGTGATATAAAATCTCGTCTATAACCTGAAATATATTACTGAATGCTAGCTATATATGAAATAATTTTGTTGATTTACATGTGAAGTGCACAAGATGTTGGTATGAACATGACATAGCACCTGTTACCATTAGTAAGTGTATACCATGTACACGCATGTACACCAAAGCAAAGATTGTGACTGTTTAGTGGGAGGAAGAGAAAATAGAAGTCTGGAGATGCTTTTAATGATTTTTGTGTACAGGAAACAGGAGCTGTATAATGTATTTAATGAAGCCTTAAGAATTCATTTTGAGGCCAAAGAGGTATGTTTGGTAAACCTGCTTTTTCCTTCCTTTTTTCTCTCTCCAGCTCAGAACACTGGAATCTCAACTTTGTACAGGAATTCGTATGGTGCACCTGCTGAAGATATCAAACACAACCAGGTAAGTATGGAGACTAAAATGTTACTGTTCCAGATGGCAAAAGACCAGTGTAACATCTTGTACGGAAACTAAGAAAAATATCACAAAGATTGATAAATCTAGATTAGAGGAACTGAGTCATCTGCTTGCGCAAATGCAAGCAATTTCACTGACTTCAAACAAGCGACGTTCTTTATGCTAATGGATAATTTCAGCCCAAGTTTCAAAAAATGTCCAACGGGTTATGACGGCATATGCACAAAAATTATCTAATCTAAGGTGTTCAAGCCTGTAACTCATAATGAAATCAAGAGGGGCTTGAGACCTGAATGCCTTTCAAGTTCTGGATATGTGTGACACAGACTACAAAAGCCAAGCTAATGTTAATGGGCACTTCTGCTGGCTCTGGTATCTCGTGATGTCCTGTGCCAGTGAATTTGGTTAAGTCCGGTCACATCTTATTACTTGAGTATAGCCATCATAAAGTTCAACACCACTGCTGACACCGCGCGGCTCACGTGCTAAGGCATCCTAGCAGAAACTCAAGTATTGAACAGTCCTGGAGAAAGAACCTCCTGTATCTTTTGCAGGGATGTGTACGCTACACTTGGGTATAGCAAAAGCCCTCAGATTTGCCCTTTAGTTACTCCAGAAGCATGATTGTAACCAGGGGTTTTGCTTAGTTGTTTTTTAATGTATGAACTGGGGCATGGGCAAGAGAAAATGTAGCATTTCGTCGGCAAGGACGCTTTCTCATGTATATACATCCAAACCATTCGGTCTAGAGCTTTGGGACTCTTTTAAAAATGTTCTGTCCCTGAAAACCAGAAAGCCGTAAGTACATCTGGGTAAGGTGGGCATTACAAAAATGTAATTGGCAGCATGGGTGCCAAGGTAATGCACTCACAGAAAAAGTTGCCATGTTGACACGTACGGCATTCATATAGTTGGTATTTCCAGTATAGGGGTTACTCAGTCCCTGAGAAACTGACATTTTTCTGCACCCATAGGCTTTTGTTTCATCATTATGTGTAATGCTACTTTATACTTAATCATCACAACTCCTTAATATTTTTACAACTTCCCTCTGTAATATGCAAAAGTTACAGCATTTTTCAACTAGAGGAATGAGACGAAAAAACATTTAAGGAAAGCACTTAAAATGATTAGTAGTATCAGACAGGTAAATGAATATTCAGTAAAATTGATAAAGATTTTTCTCTGAAGATTTGTACTAGATTACCTGAAATATAAAAGACTGATATTTCGGTTTTAATCCACAAACTTAAGGTGAAGAGAGTTTCTGATATTCTGTGCCCCCATTTCTCTTTATTGGTTTTGCTTTTTAATTAGCCAGTATTTCCTGTGGTGCACCATATTCCTTCTTTGAGTGAGCCAGTTCAGTGCATGAAGGTGTTTCTGCTTTTATTGCATTTAAAGAGATGAAGCCCTCCTAAGTAACACAATATTTAGAGAAAATAAGGGTATGAGGTATTGTAACAGCAGGTGCACTCTTAACTGCAGTCATGAATCAACTAGTTTGATTTTGGGGGTGAGAGTTTGAGCGAAAACAAAACAAACCAAAGGAAAAAAACCCACCCCCCAAAAAAAAAATTCCAACTTTTCCCACTTGCTTTCTCAATGAAATGTCAGGTTTATGATTGACATGTCTTAAATAATGTTTTTAGCTAAAAAGAACCCAGAAATACTACTTCAGTGCCCTATTTTCTACTCAAAAATTGACCATCTCTAACTTTTTGGCATATAAATAGGTTGCTTAGTATAGAATTTTTCTCCTGTCTCCAAAATTAAACACCTTGTTTGAATATGTGAAATTAAATGAGGGGCTCGAGGTCCTATACACCTCGGTAGCAGTACTAGAAATAGAAACTAGAGTAGTTGTGCTCCCTTGTGCTGTTCTAATATAGGGCCCAGTGTCGTAAGATCACTTGTAGGATTGTTGAAGGACACGGACAGCCTTTTGCACTCTACGCATAGAGTCCAGTACAGACATGCTTAGAAAGAATATCACAGAGTTTGGGACGTAGCAGTGCAGCTGTTCCTCACTTCCTGAAGGAGCATTACTAACTCTTGTAGAGTCAGCAGGATCTGCAAAGTCTTCTGACACCAACGTCTGAGCACCAGTATTCCCAGTGATGACCATGTGAGGATTGAAAGGCTGTATCATTTTGCAGTCACAGCGTCTGCCCAAACTTAGTAGAGGTGGCAGAGAGTGAAAGGTAGTATTCCAACTATAAAAACAGAGACTCGCTAGGGCTGTCTGAAAAAAACTTCATGGCAAACTTAGGTTAGGGGACCGCCTGAGATTTTTTTTCTGCATATCATAAATATTTCAGCTTCAAGGCAACTTGCTGGAATGTAGCAACAGCACAAGATTGCCAACATGACGAGTTAAGGAGGTGGTAAGAAGATGGTTCTGCTTAACAGTAGCAGAAGAAAACATTTCAGGCCACTTCGCTTAAAATTTTCCCATGTCAGTGCCCTGAAGATTATAAATGGTTCTTAAGGATACAGTGGCACTCTAAATCTCACTTGCGGCAAAGGCAGCTGCAAAATGTTTAGCATCTTTGGAGTGTGTATCACTTCCATTCAAATTCTTCAAGGCTGAGTTTTGGCCACCAATGTTTGCATTATATAGCTGCAAATTAGTCAGAAAGTTATACACGGATTATAGTTATGAAAGTAACTGTAAGCTGTGCTGCTTTAATTACTTTGGAAGGAAAGCAGTTTCTTTAGCAGCAATAATACTAAATAATAAATTTATTTAATAATAATATTAAATAAATAGATGTAAAGAATTGTAATGACAAGGCAAAGCTGTAGAATGAATTCACTACCATGCAATACCTTGAGCAGATGTTAAGATAACGCACAACTTGGATTTCCAGCGTGATAAACATAGAGTGAGATTTACTCCTCCTTCCATCCTGTTGCCCACAATAAGTTGTATCTAACAAGCGGTGGGTATTACTGTCTTTCAGGTTTCAACACAGCCAGTTCCACAGGAGCCCAGCAGAAAAGATTATGAATCATATCAGCCGTTTCAGAATTCAACAAGAAACTATGATGAGTCCTTCTTTGAGGACCAAGTGCATCATCGTCCACCTGCAAGCGAATACAACATGCACCTGGGACTAAAGTCAACTGGCAACTACGTCGACTTCTATTCAGCTGCTCGTCCCTATAGCGAACTTAACTATGAAACAAGCCACTATCCAGCCTCTCCCGACTCCTGGGTTTGAGACTTGGGCAGATACAAAAGCTCCAGGAACTGTGCATGTGCATGCATACCACAAGACATTCTTTTTCCTGCAAATTTAGTTTGTTAAAGCCTGTTCCATAGGAAGGCCCAGATAACCAGTATGGAAAAAATTAAGAGGTTTTTTTAGAAGGCTAAAAGATACGAAAGCTAAACCTGGGAGTAATTAGAAAGAAATATATATATATACATATATATATATATATTTTACAGTGTGGGGCGACTTTACTGTTGGCCTGTAGAGTCTGAAGTTCGGTGCTGTTGGGTCAAGAGTTAAGCACAAGTAACTGAGCAGCGTACATACTTTATGGGGAACAGCTTCTCACACTTTGTTTAATATCCTCATTCATTGTGAATCTAGGCTTCAAGTTGCATTTGGGGTTTCCTCTGTACAGCAAGATGTTTCTTGCCTTTTGTTAATGCATTGTTGTAAAGTATTTGATGTACATTACAGATAAAAAAAAAACAAGTGCATTGTGTATATTACACCAATGCCACAGTGTTTCTTCATCTATGGTTCTAAATATTGCTTCAATTTCAAATTTTGAAAGATGTATGAATTTCCAGTTTTTTGTTTTCTTTTCCCCGGTGCGTTTTAACAAAAAAAAAATCAAAAAAAAAATCAAAAAAACAAAAAGGAATATTTAGCAGTATTGTTCGTTCTGATATGTGAATTTGTTTGTGGCAACTAAAAAAAAGGCATTCAGCAGTTTCTGACAATTAACATTCATTATTCCACACTCCTTGTCAACGAAGTGCTTTTTCACTGCCTAAAATTTTAGATGTAGATATTTGAAATAGATTTTTTTCATTTATACCAGTTTTCTTTATGATGATACAGTGTTAAAAGAAAATAAATTACAATTGATCTGTCATCCATATTTGCTAAGAATGTCTATTTCCAAGAACCTACCATACAAATACACATTCTTACTTGTGTGTGTCCACGTATGCATAGTATTCTGTGTGCGTGTGTGTGTTTGAGTGTGTGCGTTTGTGTGGCGTGAGACTTCTTTTCATCCAATGTTTTCCTTGTTCCAGCTTCAATTTTTGTTTGAGTTTCAGTTTTTTTAAACAGTGGAAACTCCAGTATGTGCTTTCTCTTACTCACTTTCTTAACCATTGATAGCAATTCAAAATTGTTAGGCCACGTACTCACAAAGGAAGGGGTTATTGGATTTTTTTCCACTGACTCCTTCACCCTTAGGTGCCATTTCCTTTAAAATAGCATCTCTTGATCTTCTCTTGAGGAACTTTCATTACTCTCCAGCCACCAACCAGCAAGCGCTCAAGGAAGGCAGAGTTTGATCTTGCCATCTCCCTGAGGGAATGGAAAACAAAGACCCAACAGACTTAAGTCTGGAGTCTCCAAACTCTTTGGGCTATAGAAGAGTCCAACTTGTGAACCATTAGGACAATCATTTATTTTAACCCATACCAAAAAGAAAACCCAATACCCAAAACACATTCCTCAAATATGAAAGATACCGACCATTTCTGTGCATTTAAAGTAAAGCCCTGAGAAATAAAAAATGTCAGGGACAGAGATTTTTTTTTTTTAAATAATTAAAAAATAGAAAAGGAAACTAGACTAGGAGGCCAGAAGAGCTGGTATAGTCAACTTAGCTCTTGGGATTCTGGAAGTGAACAAAAGAATCTAGCGTTTCTTCATTTCTTTGATTCAGGCAACAGTTCGGCGTACAGTTTTCGCAGCGTAAGACCCACCACAAATGGAGTAGTTGTAAATTGCTTAAATTACAATTAAGGAATTTGTTTTAGATAGCAAACATTTCTGTGATTAGTCATTGTAATAGTCTTAACATCACCTGGCACGCTTCTGGCTGTGCCCAGGGGGAGAAGTCTCTCGCAAGTCATCGCCTGCTCTATAGGTCGCAGCCCGAGTAGTTCACGCAGGCGGGTATTGTGACGTAGAATTGGTTTATCGGTAATCTAGGACTATAGTTTAATCTTTTTGGCAGCTTTTCCCAGTGTACGATATGTAACCTTATCTGCTCTTTGTAGTAAATGGGGAAAAAAAATCGCATGCAAAAAAATTTTTAAAAAATTTAAGAAAGGGTGGGTGGGAGGGGCACAGTGGGCCAGATTTACAGTGAGGTAGATAAAAATATTATTCATAGTTTTGGACACAGGTTGTTTATATTTTATTTATGACATTGATTTTAATAAGATAAGTGACATTTGCAGTGCTCTTTTGAACAAAGCACATTTTCAGTATAAAAACTTTTTTTTAATAAAGAATGTCACTCGCAACTTGAAGTTCTTCTTGACTGCCTGATAACCACCAGGCTGGGGCAGTTCTCCAGGCGCAGGATTGCCAACAGGCCAAGGGGATCCGTCATTCTGTTCGAAGTTCTTAGGACAGGAGGTTATTGTAAGTTGGATTTATTTCCATTCTTCAAACTACTGAAATGCCCACTTTGCCCCCTTTCAGCTCCTCTTAGGAACTACTTGGTGTCAAATGTTGACCATTGCTCAAGTGAGAGATTATGGATCGATGAAGTGGCATAAAATACCTTTTGTCTGTAGTTTGTGTTGTTTTGTTTCCATTCTTCTGTAGTGGCAAGTGCTCCGGCTGGTAATGTTCACTCTTGCTGTACTGAATTTTGGGAAGGTGTTGAATTACCTGGCTGCTTTTCCAGGGTTGGAAATCCAACACTGCTGCCATACTGAGCAAGATATATATGATGCATTCTTTTTAATATTGAGGAAAGTATCATTACCTATTGCTGTTCCCTTCATTCTTGTACTAGATCACACACAGAAATAGAGAAGAAACAAAACTGTTCCACAAAAAAATGTATAAAATGCAATTGATGTACTGTAAAATGTCGGATTTTTTTTTTTTAACAAGCTTCGTATTAGAATCTTGTTCAGCTGTGTAGAGCTATATAAATCTCACTGTTTTATTAAATGCTGTTTATGGTCTGGAAGGAATGGTTAACCTATCTCAAGATTAACAAATTTGCACTAACATGAGCAATATTGATTTGAAAAAAAATAATATGAATTCAATATTTAAAAGATAAACTATGATTTTAAAGGTATATTAACACTGAAAGTACATTTTGACAAATAACATATTTAAGCCCAAAATATAAATGGTTATGTCAGATAACACAAAAGAACTATAACAATATAGATTGAAAAAAAAAATGTGTTTCATTGTACATGTTGCTAACATGTACAAAGGCAAACTCATATTGACATATTTTCTATTAATAAATCCTACTGTATTGTGGAGAATCGCTGGTCATAGTGCAATATGTTTAAACTCAGAAGTTGACTCCATAGATTGATGCCTAGCTTCACACAGCCAACAAACCCCTGCAATTTATTTATTTTAAATATTAATTGGATAGCTAACTTTCAGCTCTCAAGTCATTCGCTCCCCCCTCCCTCTCCACCAGGTTTATGAGCACAACCCACTCTACAACAGCAAGCAAAGGGCAAAGGTATTTTTGAGAAGAACACCCAGTTCACCCCTAATTACGGCTGCAAGAGCTCAGCTGCCACCACTTACAGAGAGAGAGTTTACCAATACCTGTAGAAAAAACTTAAAAGCTCAAGGCTGGTGCCAGTGGATAGGAACATGCCGTAAAAAATACGATCTTGGCCCCAGTGTTACGTAGGCTGCAGCCAAGAAATGAAGAGCAAGCCATTAATTCACTCGTGCGTTGCTGGGAGTCCCGGCGTGCAGTGCGTGTAAGGGCTTGCGAATTCTTTCCTGGGACTGGGTTGCATTAGCCTGCAGAAGCGTCTCACCGGGGAGACTTGCAACTCAAATCAGAAATGCTGACTTATTTTTTATACCTTGGCACAGCACAGGCTGTGCAAGCCTGTGCACTGCAAGGGAGGCTTTCTCAACTCCTCCACCCCTGTTACTCATCCTCTCCTGCCAGCAGAGCTCTGGGTTTAGTGTTATTGCTTGTATCACGGGGAGTGGTGAGAGGAGTGGGAGGGATGGAGACAGCAATCCAAAGGCAGGGGGGAGGGACAACAAACAAGGGGCCTAAAAATACAGAAACTCAGAGCCTGTGCACAAGGGCAGATGCACACTCACAATCCTAAAAATACAGAAACTCAGAGCCTGTGCGCGAAGGCGGATGCACACTCACAATTACTAACAGTGCAATGGATCCAACAAGAGATTTTATGCACCAAGATCATCAAATATTACTAACAAGCTAATGTACTGAACATTTAATAGCAGCAACATGATGCACACAAAGCTTTATGCTAGGAAGGTGGGAGGGAGCAGCAGAGGGAAATCACAGGTCACCGTTGGGTACTTCCAGCTTCAGCCAGCAGATGTTGGGCATGACAGCAGCGACCGCTTACAGCTGTAAAGGAGAGAGGAGCAGGATGAGACTCTTGATCAAAGACTTTAAAACTAGGTCCAAGACTTTAAGACTAGGTCAAAAAGACATTAGGCAGCTAATGTAAAAGAGGCAACTTTTTGCAAGCCTCCCCCCTTGCCCCACCATCCTCAGCAGCAGAATGTGGCCCTCCCAGAAGGTACACAGACGCAATGCACATGGGGGACAATCCCATCAAGGACCCAGCTTGCAAAGGCCCTTTCCTATCAGCTGGGCAATACCTGGTACAGCTGTACGTCTGAGCAGCCACCCGTGCTGACCGCTGCCGGTGCTGGGGCTGTGCTTGCCGAGGAGCAGCTCCAGACACTTGCCATTTGAAGCCCAGCGTTTTCCCTGGAGGCCAGATGTGCACCAACATCTGCTGAGTAACTGTGCAGTGCTGGCTGTTTTCTAGGGGGACTAGCCAGTTTTTAAATAGTGGCCTAAAGCCAGTTTCAGACATTTAGGCTGCAAGTGGGAGATTTGAGTTTCATTCCTAGGCAAGGGGATTGAAGCCTGCAGCTGATACCTGTAGGGAGGGGGACATCCCCGCCTTCCAGGCTGTTCTAAAAATCAAGTGAGAAAAGCAGTGACTATCACGTCTTTT